ACTGGTGGCTGGTGTTGTTCTCGGAGCCCGCTCTGGCGCCGTGAAAATGGAAAGAAGCCAACCCTTGGCAGGCAACGATGCGACGCTGCTATGTCTGGTCATCTATTTTGCCTCATTGTGGATGGCCTGCTCCGCTCCGAAGGAAAGGAACAGATTGGTCAATGGAGGGACGTGACCTGCTACGGACGTGGTACTACGGCGTCCTGCGTCCTGAGCTTCGGCCCTGATTCCTGGGTGCTTGTGCAGTAGTAGTTGACGCACTCATATAAGTATACGTGACGCTGCTCGCCTCTATTTGTCCTACTGGCTCACCACGAGTGACACAGCCGCCGATTAGGGTCTCCCATCGCAAGTCAGGAGGCGCGTTCTCATCAATCATTACTTGGAGCACCAACCAAAGCTGAGCCAACAGGCTACAGACCGCCATGGCCGTCTCCAGCGTCAAGTCATGGTCGATCGCAGCACTTACGAGCCTGTTACCGCTGGTCTCTGCTCTCGGCCAATCGCCCATCGTCGCCTTTGAGAGCGCTGAGGGGAGCTTCCAGATTGCCGGTGGTGACGTGGGAACTGGTCAGATCCGCGTGTCCGCCAATGAATACTGGGGCGTCATCCGTGCTGCCGGCGACCTTGCGGCTGACTTTGGCCGCGTGACGGGAACGAACTACACCTTGAGCAATGGCGAGAGCGGAGCCCAACCTGCAGCATATACCTTTGCTCCTGTCGACGTCACAAACAACACTCACGTAGGTGGACCGTGAAATTTCTTCTTCCTAGAAACTCATGCCTGACGGCTCTCTAGTTCAGCACGACAGCCGAGGAGTCGCTTTCGGGCCCCGAATACTCCGACCCTGATGCAGGCAGCACCGTCATCATTGCCGGCACCATCGGCCACTCGGAGATTATCGATCAGCTCATCGAGTCTGGCCTCATTGACGTCGGTGAGGTCGAGGGCGAGTGGGAAGCATTCGTCAGCCAGCTCGTTGAGAACCCTATCGAGGGCGTCGCGCAGGCTCTGGTCATCGCTGGCAGCGACCCTCGTGGCACTATTTACGGCATTTACGACGTCAGCGAGCAAATCGGCGTCAGCCCATGGTACTTCTGGGCCGATGTCCCTACACGCCAGCGTGAGAACGTCTATGCGCTGTCCGAGCGCAAGGTCCAGAAGACGCCGTCCGTCAAGTATCGCGGCTTCTTCCTCAACGACGAACAGCCTGGACTGTCCAGCTGGGTTGGGTAAGTCCGCCTTTTCCAACGGTAAAAATTGAAGCACTCCTCCCATACTGATCTGATACAGCACGCAGTGGAATGACACCTGGAACGATGCTGCGCCGTACAACCGCCACTTTTACGCGCTTATCGGCGAGGTTCTGCTCCGGCTGCGGGCAAACTACCTCTGGCCCACGCTCTGGGGCAGCATGGTGTACATTGACGATCCCTACAACCAGCCTCTGCTTGATGCTTTTGAGATTGTCCTCGGAGGCTCCCACACGGAGCCCATGATGCGGGCGCAGAACGAGTTCCGCACCTTCTACGAGGGCCCATGGCAGTATGCCGAAAACAACGAGACGATTGACGAGTACTTCCGCTACGGCGTCGAGCGTGCCAAGCCTTATGCGCGCAACAGCGTCTGGACCATGGCGATGCGCGGCACAGGCGACACGGCCATCGAGGGCAACCTCGGCATCGACGCCATCGTGAGCATGCTCGAGACGCTTGTCGACAATCAGCGGTCGATCATCGAAGAAGGGCTCGAGATCGAGTCGGCGGCCGAGGTCGACTCGCTCTGGTGCCTGTACAAGGAGGTCCAATCGTATCAGGAGAGGGGACTCGTCGTGCCAGAGGACATCACGCTCCTGTGGGCCGACGACAACTGGGGCAACGTCCGCAGGCTGCCGCTCGCCAACGAGACGGACCGATCCGGCGGTGCTGGTGTGTACTACCACTTTGACTATGTCGGGGACCCGCGCAACTACAAGTGGATCAACACGATCCAGCTCGAGAAGACGGCCTCGCAGATGTACCTGTCCTACGCGCGGCACGCGCGCAAGATCTGGATCGTCAACGTCGGCGACCTCAAGCCCAAGGAGATCCCCATCAGCCACTTCTTCGACATTGCCTACGACATTGACCGGTGGGGCGCCGACGGCACGACCGACTGGGTCCGGGCCTGGGTCGAGCGCGACTTTGGCGGCACACACACGGACGCCATCACGGACATTTTGACACGCTACGGCATGTACGCGGCGCGCCGCAAGTACGAGCTCCTCGAGCCGCAGGTCTACTCGGTCATCAACTACCACGAGGCCGAGGCCGTGCTGGAGCAGTGGGCGGCCCTGCGCGAGGACACGCAGGCCGTCTACGACGAGCTCGACGAGGCGTACCAGCCCGCCTTTTTCCAGATGCTGCTGCACCCCGTGCTCGGCGCCGAGATTGTGTACAAGATCCAGATCAACGGCGCCAAGAACCAGCTCTACGCCGGACAGAAGCGCAACTCGGCCAACGATGTCATTCGCGAGTCGGTCGCTCTGATGTACGACGATTCGAACCTGACGCAGCGCTGGAATGAAGTGCTCGACGGCAAGTGGGCACACATGCTTGACCGTATGTATTATCGTTGTCCCCCCCCTCTTGTATTCTCGTTTGGCTATGAATGATGGGCCGATGGCTGACCAATGCAGAAACCCATTTGGGTTACGATGGCTACTGGCAGCAGCCCATGAGGAACACGCTGCCAGACCTGCGCTACGTCCAGGACGTGTTCCCGTCACTCGGCGGCCAGTACGGCATTGGCGTCGAAGGCTCGAATGCCAGCATCCAGGGCGACTCCAAGTGGCACGCGCTGTCGTCGAGCGGCCTCGAGATGCTGCCACTGAGCCCCTGGGGCGCCGCGTCGCGGTACATTGACGTCTTCAGCCGTGGCCCCAAGCACTGCAACTGGCAGGCCTCACCGTGGGAGCCGTACGTGCAGCTGTCGCAGTACAACGGCACCGTCGGCGGCGACAACGGCACGGACGCGCGCATCTACATGACGATTGACTGGGCCAGCGCTCCGGCGGCGCCCAACCGCACCGAAGTTTTCATCAACATCACCAGCGACTGCCGAGGCTTTGAGCGCTACGCGGGCGCCGAGCCCCGTCTCACGGCGATTGTGGAGAGCGTGTCTGTGCCGGACAATTTTACCGAGGGGTTCGTCGAGGCTGACGGTCACGTCGCCATTGAGGCGTCTCACTACCAGAGCATCCTCGAGGGCACAAGCGGATCGTCGTCATCGTCACCGCCGAACAGCACGGGCTCCAACTCGACGCGCGTCAGCGGGCGCCAAGACAGCAACGAGACGGCGCCAGCGTACCACACGCTCCGGAACTACGGGCGCACGCTGGCGGGTGTCGGGCTCTACCCGCTCGACTCGGAGAAGCTCGAGGTGGGCGAGGGCCCGGCGCTCGAGTACAGCGTGTACCTCTTCACGAACCACTCGGCGGCCAACGTGACGGTGTACATGTCGCCGGGCGCCAACTACCTCGGCGACAACAACCCGCTGCAGTACGCGATCGCGCTTTTCCCGGCGGGCGGCGAGCAGCCGGAGCCGACGGTGGTGACGCCGATCGGGCCCAACGTCGGATCCAACATGCCCGACGGCTGGGGCCAGGCCGTGGCCAACGCCGTCTGGGGCCTGCAGGGCAACTACACGACATCGTCGTTCAACGTCACGCAGGAGGGCGCGTACACGCTGCGCATCTGGGCGCTGCTGCCGAACATTGTGGTGCAGAAGATTGTCATTGACCTCGGCGGCGTGCGCGATTCGTACCTCGGGCCGCCGGAGAGCTTCCTCGTGGGGAGGGACGAGAGGGGATCCTACAACGGCACGTCCTTTGCGACGACGCCGGGCGTTGTCGGCGGAGTGGATCACAACCGGACGTCGTTGCCTGGAGGCGGCGAGTCCGAGGAGGCTGACGAGTCGAACAAGGCGTCGAACGATGCTGGCGGCTTGGCGGTGGGAGGCTTCACGCGTGTGCTCATGGTGGTTCTGGCGGTCGTACTGGCGCTATGATGGGTGTGACGGGTTTGCATGATGTATATGACGAGTGAAGCAATTGCAAGTTCTTGAAGACACATCTCGGGTCGGGGTGCACTGATTGGTGATGAAGAACGGTTTCGTGATGTCTGGCTCCCTACAGAGAGTTGAAGGTCATGAGTATGCCTTGGGTCAAGATGATCCAGGAGTGAACATGATGGATTGCTGGTATGCTGTCAAAGCGCAGTGATGGAATGCTGGCCCAGCATGCCAAGCCATATGCCATGATGGAGGTGGTGATGTTGCTGGTGGTGCTGACCTAGGCATCTGGATTGTAACTACCTGAGGTACCTACCTAAGGTATAGGTAGGTAGTTACCTTAGGTAAGTTGGCAAGGTAGGAAGGTCGGCACATAGGGAACAATCACGTGGTCGGCGGGCCTACACCAAGGCGCTAAAGTGCGTCCCGGTTGCCAAGGACGACAGCACTAGCACCCCCGGCCACCCCTGCCCAAAACAAACGTCGGGGCGTTCGCCCTGCAGCACGCAGCAGCGCACAGCAGCACGCAGCGGCACTGACGAGTGAGGTACCTGCTTGGCGTCGGAGCGAGCTTTCGAGCCAAAACATCAAAGCACCTCCACCTCGTCACTCGACTCCCCATCTTCAACTTGACAGCCCCAGCTCCAGCTCCAGCCCCAGGTAAGGAAGGCATAGCAACACGTCTGTTTTCTTTTTTTTTTTTCCCCCTCCCGCCTCGACCCCCCCATTGCTTTCAGGCGCGAGAAGCAGCATCCTTCTCATGAGTACATATTTGCACATTGCGGCCTCTTTTTGTTTTTGATCAACACCGCCGACAATCCGCACCCCCTTGGCCGTCGCAGGCCTCGAACGCCCCCTATCAAACACGAAAGACAAAGCCCGAGCGACGACCAGAGCCCAAGGACTCGAACTGCGAACCGCGCGAAGCACAGCATCACCGCGGGACAAGATGGTCGTCGATCCTGGTGCCTCGTCCATCAATGTCACAGGTCCGTTCATGCCCTCCCTACCCCCCCCCCCCCCCCCCCCCCCCCTCGAGCCACGCGCTGACCTCGTGAACTCGACAGTCCGAGTGCGACCTTTCACCATTCGTGAAGCGGCGCAATTGTACGCGCCTCCTGCTCCAAGTACATTGGGGGAAATCGACACAACATGCTGACTCTGCCAGGACGCGGACCGATGAAGGCACCCTCTTCCTCGGCGACGGCTCGCTGGCCGCTGCCCCCACCCCCAAGCTCAACACGAGGGGCATCCGACCTGTGATCAAGGTCGTCGATGACCGATGCCTGTCCGTGGCCCTCCCACGATTGTCCTGCCGAACCACAAACAGCTGACAACCTTGCAGAGTATTTGATCCGCCCGAAGACAACCCCGTCCAGAGGTTCTCCAGATCCGTCGTGCCCAACGGCAAGAAGGTCAAGGACCAAGTCTTCGCCTTTGACAGGATCTTCGACGACAATGCCACGCAAAACGACGTGTACGAAGCAACAACACGGACCCTGCTCGACAGCGTCCTCGACGGCTACAACGCCACCGTGTTCGCCTACGGCGCAACCGGCTGCGGCAAGACGCACACCATCACCGGCACCTCGCAGCACCCTGGCATCATCTTCCTGACCATGCAGGAGCTCTTCGAGAAGATCGCCGACCGCAGCCAGGAAAAGACGACCGAGGTCACCCTCTCTTACCTCGAAATCTACAACGAGACGATTCGCGACCTGCTCGTCCCCGGTGGCAGCAAGCAGGGATTGATGCTGCGAGAGGACTCGAACCAGGCCGTTTCTGTCGCTGGCCTGACGAGCCATCACCCCAAGGATGTGCAGGAGGTTATGGACATGATCGTCAGGGGGAACGAGTTCCGCACCGTCTCGCCGACCGAGGCCAACGCCACATCGTCCCGCTCCCACGCTGTCCTGCAAATCAACGTCGCCCAAAAAGACCGCAACGCCGACGTCAACGAGCCGCACACCATGGCCACCCTCAGTATCATCGATCTGGCCGGCAGCGAGCGTGCGAGTGCCACCAAGAACCGCGGCGAGCGCCTGCTCGAGGGTGCCAATATCAACAAGTCGCTGCTTGCGCTCGGAAGCTGCATCAATGCTCTCTGCGATCCCCGGAAGAAGAACCACGTGCCCTACCGGAACAGCAAGCTGACGCGTCTGCTGAAGTTCTCCCTCGGCGGAAACTGCAAGACGGTCATGATTGTGTGCGTCAGCCCCTCGAGCGTGCACTTTGACGAGACGCAAAACACGCTGCGCTACGCCAACCGCGCCAAGAATATCCAGACCAAGGTCACGCGCAACGTGTTCAACGTCAACCGCCACGTCAAGGACTTCTTGGTCAAGATCGACGAGCAGATGGCCCTCATCAACGAGCTCAAGGCGCAACAAAAGGACGCCGAACAAGCCTCGTTCGCCAAGTTCCGCAAGCAGCAGGATCGCCGAGACGCCATCGCCCGCGAGGGCATCCAGCGCATCCGCGTCGCCTACGACAACTCTGCCGGCGAGCGACAGGAAAAGCTGAACAACATGAAGAAGCTCAGAAGCTTCGAGCGTCGCATCGGCCTGCTCTCAAGCTGGCTCGCATCGTTCGATGCCATCTGCGATGCCCGTGGCGACGAGGACATGATGCCTTCGAACCTCGTCTCCATCCGCAAGACGGCCAGCGGTATCCTGTCCGAGCTCGAACACAGCAGGCACCACATGATCCAGAAGCTCGACAAGTTCAACTGGGAGCGCGCTCTCGACACAGCCCTGCACCACAGCATCCAGCAACTGCCCGGGGACGGCTCCGCCGACTGCGGCGAGGTGGCGAACCTGTCGCGTGAGGTCGAGGTCCTCAAGGCGAGCTTCGGTCGCGAGTCGTACCGTGACGTGTTGGACTTTGACAAGACGGCCGACGCCTCCATGGTGCAGGTGCTTCTGACTGCCCAGTTTGACATGCTAGCATCCCTATCCGAGACGCTGGCGATGAAGGAGGAGGACGCCGTCTCGCATGCCAAGTCCATCATCCACCGTTTGCTCGAGGTCGGTTACACGGCAGCGTCCCATGTCGTCAAGCCCGACGGCTCTTGCATCCCCGTCGAGAAGTTTTCCCCCAGCAAGCGAGGCACACCCAAGCGAAAGAAGGCCGCTGCCGTCGGCAACATCCAGCCCATTGCCGCGCCTCTCCTGTCCGTGGCCGACGCGCCGGTGCTCACACAGCCGATTGCTGCTGCTTCGCCGATGAAGACGTCGCCCCGCCGGCGCAAGCCCATCAACGCGCGGAAGGGCGTTTCGTTCACGCCTGTGAAGAAGAAGGCGGCGTCGCAGCGGTCGGTTCGGTGGAGGGATGACGAGTCCGAGGATGGAACTCTGGCCGACTTTGACAAGACGCCCAAGAAGTACGAATCGACTCCGGAACAGAACTCGCCCGACGAGGCTCTTCCTCTGCCACCCATGCCCGCCATGTCGTCCCTGCCGGCCATGCCCACTCTGCCAGTCTACTTGGAAACCACCGAGGAGGAGCCTGAGCCAGCCTCGGAGGACGCAAGCCCGTCTCTCGAGCTTCCCGAGACGTCTACTCTCGTGTTGCCGGCCAAGCCTAACAGGTTCCAGGCCGGATTTCTGTCCAAGGGAAATGCCCGGGTCTCGTCCATCGGCAGCGGCTCTCCGAGCCTGCCCACGCCGACGTTCTCGGTGAAGCTCGCCCCTTCGCCATCGTCGTCTGACAACGGAGACAAGCTCGGCCCGCTTAGGTCGCTGGACGTGGCGCGGTCTTCCAACATGTCACCCTCGTCCTTCGGCTCCAAGATAGCGCGGCTCAGTCCGCCTCGGTGTTCATTTCTCGGCGACGAAAATAACCCCCCCTCCATCGCCTCTGGCCACTCCTCTGACTCCGACTCGTCCAAAATTGACCACCAAAAACTCCGGAACGCCCTCCACTCGGCCAAAAAGGCGGGGGGACGTAGGGTGTCCTCCATGTCCGGCGCCACGACCGCGTCTGCGCGACGCATCTCTTCCATTGGCCCTCTCCCCGAAAGGGCCGGCCACCGGGCCTCGCTTAGCTACTCCGGGCCCCTCGCCAGTTCGACGAACGGTATCTCTCGGCACCGCCGAAACAGCACAGCAGAGCGACGGCGCTCGCCGCCCATCGCGTGTTCCCCACCCGACTTTCGGGGTGCATTCACCCAGGGCCAAGCGCGCCGCATGAACTTTGCCGGCAGCGTCAAGCTGTCCGGTGTCGAGGGCAGCAGCCCAGGCGACCGGGCGCAGAGCCTCGAGGCAGGCAAGACCCGACGCATCACTATTGGTGGTTTGGGCGCCATGGGTGGTGCCGCCACGAGGGGACGCGATGTCAGCGCTGGTAGGGCTAGTGTTGGCTGGCGATGATCACCTCTTCTTCTTGTTCTTCTTTTTGTCCGTGTTTGGATTTCTGCATTTCTCTCACATCGGCGTCAAGGTTTCATTAGGCGTCAGGGGGGGAGGTTGGACAATGGCACGTCCGCGACAGACTGGCTAGACCGCCACGCATGTGCATAAGCTACGGCTTTTGTACGCTCCCAAATCTGGGATCGCTGTATCAGTAGGTGCCGTTCAGGCATAATGAGATCATGTTCCATCATTGCCGTGTTTGGAGGGTGATATGCCTGTTGCTTGATTGTGTTGTCAATGTTCCGTGTATCTTTTGCTATGGCCCCTGTCATGAGCCTCACGTATACGAGCTCTGCCGTTCATTCCCTACGTCAGCTCTTGCCTCTTGTCTTTCGTCATCCCCCTCCAAGCTTCTTGTCGAATCGTACCTTCATTTTTTTCAAAGGAGCAGCGCGGCGAACAGTCCCGCGGCCAACGCAACGGGCACCTCGTTCCCCACACCGGCAGCCGGCGTCTCCGTCTCCGCCGCCGCAGCATCCGTCCCAGTAGCCGTGTCACCCCCGGCAGCAGTCGTGGCAGAAGGAGAGGTCATGGTAGTAGTAAGAATAGCAGCCGTCGTCGTCGTCGTCTGGTCGTCATCGTCATCGTCATCGTCATGGCCACCGCCACCGCCGCCGCCGCTCGCGCCCTCGGCGTCCGGCAGCAGCCTGTCGCGGCAGAGCCCGGGCAGCTGCGCGGCGTACTGGCCCTGGTCGGCGGGCGTGCAGTCCCGGATGCAGGCGATCATGGGGCTGCCGCTGAGGGCGGCGCAGGTGCACTCGTCGAGGGCGGCGCCCTGCTCGTCGCCGTCGCAGTGCGAGGACATGAGGTTGTTCGTGATGCAGGTCGCCACGCAGCGGGGGCGGTCGCTGTTCTGGGCGAGGGCGAGGCGGGGGAGGGCGAGGATGGGGAGGATGGAGGCGCGCATTTTTTTTTTCGTGTTTCTTTTCTTTTCTTGGGAGACGAGGTCGGTCTTGGGCTTTGAGTGTGTTGGATCGAGGAAGAATGTGGGACGACGCGCTGTGTTCATGAGGACTGTGGTGAAAAGGCTCATGTTCGGAGAGGGTGCCGTCTTTGAGGCCGTAGCATCTTATACCTCCCGTTACCCCGGCCGTTGGGTCCTCTCTCTCTCTCTCTCCTCTCTTTCTCAGACACACACACACGCACTGCATTCTTCCCCAGACGTAACCCCTTCTCCTGTGCAATTGTCATAGCCTATGCGAGGGAAGCTCGTCCGGCTGATCAGACGCTATTGTCTAATTCGCCAGGCCGTTCGCTCGAATGTGATCATATCAGCCGTCTCCTGGGGCGCCCCCTGTCGTGGCGAGCACGCTGTTCAGCCCTGGGACGGGCTACAACCTGTGCGTGGAGGATCGCGAAACAGCCACGGCGGCCATGAGGGGTCGGGACGGCCCTCAGCGGGCGACCTCAGCGGGCAATGTGGCTTTCACTCAGGTGGTCCTTCATTCTGAAGACGCTATGAACATCTCAAGGTGGACGACGTGGCGACGTCTGGCGGTCGGAGATGATTGGTGTCCGAGCCCATCGTTGGTTGCTGAACATCTCCAGTCTGGTCAGCTTGCCCGCAGCTACTGCGTGAACACTTCTGCGTGGTCTGGGGGTCGTGCTCAACGTCATTTGGTCGTCGCTGTGACGAGTCGGAAGATCTTGGTGTGCGCGCGCAGGGTCGAACAGCACTCGCCTTGTCGGTGGCATATTGGTCCGACATGACGATGTCTTACGGTCTGTCATACCTGGGTTCATTTGTTCGGCTATGGCGCGCCGGGGTAGTCAATTGGCAGTCATCATAGCACTTGAGGAATTTTGTTGAGCTTGGAACTCCCCTAGCAAGTCTAGAAAGGGAGAATTTAGGCTCGATGAATTCGCCTCCATGGTCTTTCTGATTACCTGCCTAGGTAGGTGTGGGTGAAGCAAGGCTTGGAGGTTTGCGGATGTGAAGAACCGGATCTCGAGCTCAATATAGGGCTGATTAGTAATCGCAGGACGGAATGTGAATTCCTGCAGCTCCCCTGTTAAGCTCCAATCACGTCGACGAAGTGCTGTGATGCCACTGACGTAAGGCTGTTCCTTCCTCTGTAGCTGACAGCTTCTTGCACCACGATCTGGCATTCTTCCGGATCGCCAGCCGACCGGAATACTCTTCTTTGAGACACCAGAGAGCTTCTCACTGTCAAAGCTGAACACACTGTGCTGGTGTGTCGCCCCCCCCCCTTGGCAGACCTCCGGGAAAGATGCCGGACCAACCGATACCCACTCCACCATCTCCGGGCCCCGCGCAGCCTTCGGCACCGAGTCGAGCCTCGAGCAAAGGCAGGGCCTCTGGCGCACGCAAGTACACCACCAAAGCCTGCCAAGAGTGTCGTCGCCGGCGAGCCAAGGTTGTGCCATTGATCCCGTAGCGTCCCGACCCAGCGGCTGACACGTCCCCAGTGTGGTGGAGAAAAACCGGCTTGCACTCGATGCCAACGCCGAGGTATCGAATGTGCCTATGCAGTTGACGAAGACCACCGTGGAACAGCTCCCAAATCCTATGTCCGGCTCCTCCAGTCGCGCATTCACCTGCTGGAGCAGGTGCTTTGGCTTCATTCGATCGACCTCGACGCGTCAGTGGCCCAACTCATGGCGCAGTCGTCCAGTAATGGGCAGAGCAACGATATGCCCACCATGTCGTCTTCAGTGTCGGCTGGCATCTCGTCTTCTGAGTTCGATAAGCTGTGTTATGAATTTGAGGGCGCACTCATCCTCGACGACTCGGGGGACATCAATTGTGATGCCGAAGCCAGGTACTTTGGCCCGACAAGCGGGCGCCTCGAGCTGCCCGTCGCTCAGGGTATGGCCAGTTGTCATGTTCATGCGTAACGACACTAACACGAGCATAGACAAGCCAGATCAACTACTCAAGACACCAACAAAGCCGTTCGTCAGGGACATCTCAATGTTGAACGCCTACATTGTTGATGACTCTCTCATGCAGTTTCAGGATCTTTACGTGCCAGTGCAACCGTCCCCCAGCATCACCCCGCCATCGCTCACCAGTCGTTCCCCTGCAGCGCCATCGCCAGAGACCTTGACGTCTGATGAGCTTCAGTCCCATCTGGTAGATCTCTATTTTGCATGGGACAACCCGTGGCACAATATTCTGAACGAGGGTCGGTTTCGTCACGCCATGAAGCACAACACCAAGTGCTTTAGCCTCGTACTCTTAAACTCCGTGCTCGCTATGGGGTCTCGGTACTCGGACCGGGTCGATGTTCGCTCGGATCCAGAGGACGGGAACACGGCTGGTCAACCCTACCTGGAGGTGGCTGAAAGGTTGATCCAGAAAGAACTCCAACACCCTCGGATCGCCACGGTCCAATCATTAGCCATCATGGGGGTGCTATACGCTGTAGGTTGTCCACACACACATTTCGCTGAGCAAAGTTTTTCTGATGCCTCACCAGGCTATGGGGAGAGACGCCTGTGGCTATTTGCACCAAGGCATGGCCAACCGCCTGGCCCTCGATATGGGTCTCAACATCGACCCGATCACACTGACGGGTTCACGATGCATGTCAGATGAGGATGCAAACAGCCGGAGACAGCTGTACTGGGCGCTCTATTGCTTGGATAAGCAATCTGCCATATATACGGGACGCGTTTGCACCATGCTGGTAGGTCGCATGCCTTCGCCCCCTCGTGTCGCACGCGACGCTGGCGTACAGAACCCTATACTGAACGATACCATGCAGGACTCGCAAGCCTGTGTCAATTACCCCTCAGGGCCAGAACTGGAGAGTTCCCTACCAACCCTCAAACAACCAGCCTACAAATCTCATAATCCTCTGCTGCGAGCTCTCAGTACATTGTCGCAGATGCTGGAGAAGGTTTTGCTGCACCTGTACGCCCCCGATCTTTGACATGCCGCACCCAACTCTCCCCAAGCTGCTGATAAAATAAACAGGTACTCGCCAAGAAGATCGAACCAGCAACCGAAACGAATAGCATTCTTTGACTGTTCCCGTTTGGCAATGAGAACATGGTACTACGCTTTACCGGCTGAGCTCAAAGTCGAACGCACCGACAACAATAACTACCCAGCAGCATACATGCTCGGGATGCTTTACCACACTTCCGTCATCCTCCTTGCCAAACCTTTCTTGAAAGCCCTCGACAGTACCAATCCCACCATTGGCAACTTCCAAACCAACACCTCGCCTCCGTTGCCTCAACTGTCGGACCAAGAACGTGAAGCCATGCATTTGAAAGCGAAAGTCCTCTGCGACGACGCTGCCAGAGAGATCTGCGTTCTTGGAGCCAAGTATCGCAAGGTTTTTGGTAGCTTCCGGAAATGCCCGCCTACCGCGAACCACAGCATCCTCCAGGCCGCCCTCGTGACGCTGCAGATTCACACTCTGGCCGATGACCAGGCAAACAAGAGGGGCAAGTTGTCGCTCGAAAACTATCTTACAACTCTCAAAGAGCTCTCACAGTCATGGAGCCCTCCGAGGCGATATTGGTCAAGCGTCTCAAGGCTTGTGCAGGCTCGGCTGAGCGCGGCCACGGGTGCGGCATCTGTCGCTCTCCTACATACAACTGAAGACGCGAACCCTACACAGCACGGCGAGGGCGTGTCCTCGAATGAGTTCATGGCTGCGCATGGGCCATCCTACAACGGCGATGATGCGGAAATGATACAAAGCTGGATAGGTGCATTTTATGAGGAGGGTGGTCTCGAGGCGTACCTGAATAGTGGACCTGGCGACACCGCGGATGACCACCACATGTTCATGGACGTATTGCACGAGATGGGTCGCGAATCAAACACGACTGATTCGTCAAGAGACAACCATCAATAATGGCACGAGACTTTTGAGCCTGAAGGACACATGATACCGCATTCTAACAGCCTGGCTGGAAGCCAGCCGCGCGCTACCTATACAATGCCTCCTGCCACCATGTACACCTCTCGTTGTCCCCAATATCGCGCACTGAGGTCCCATTTGTCAGAGACAAGATCGTTGCATTGTCTCCGTACAGAGGAATGAATGGCTGACCATTCATATTCGGATCCCCCGTCTTCGCGAAAGACGTCAGGTAGAGCTGGAGTCTCGTCGCCAGGATAGGGTCAATTCCGTCCGCGCCTTCGTTAAAAAATGTGTAGGCAATGTCAGTCCCATGGTGTCCGGCACCGACATCGAATAGATAGCCCCGAACAGTTTTGGCAAAGACCCTGCTGATGTACCTGTTATTGCAGCTGAACCACGAATCGCCATGCGTGGCTTCGGAGCGTCCAAATTGCGAGGTCCAGGGATATGAACCGTCGTATATCTCGGGGTAAATACTCGTCTTGAGCTCCTGAAGAGCGTCAGCGCTGGCATCGGGCAACAACGGCCCAAGCAGATCCGTAGTGTATCCATCATCATTGGTTATGAGAGGCGAGGTGAAGATGAAGCCCTCATTCGAATTGACGCCGTGGAAGACTTCTACGGAAGAGTCGAACTTGCCCTCGTCAAGGAGTCTTCCGGCCAGGTCAGGGACAAAGTCACCGTCAACTGCGGGGCCCCATCCAAAGTTGCCCCAGTGGGCTGTTGCGATGGTGATCTCGTTGGCCTTCCACAGAACATCGAATGGAACTTCCAACAATCCGGCAAGGGTGGTGATGTTGGTCCCGCTGAAATACGAAGACCATCGTAGGACACTTTCGAACCGAGAATCTTGCTTGCTGGTGCTAGGAAGTGGCTCAAAACCAGGGGACTGCGGAATGGCTCGTCTGAAAGGCGCACCACTCGTGGCCCCGTATGCCATGATCTGGTGCATGACGAAACCTCCCCCAGCCGATTCGCCATAGACGGTTACTTGTCCAGGGTCTCCACCAAACAGGTGAATATGCTTCTGCACCCATTCGAGTGCTGCGCGCTGGTCTCGAAGCCCAAGGTTGGAGACACCACCCTGTTCCTGGTATGAAGGACCGGATGACCGCCCGAAGAGGCCGAGGCGGTAGTTGATGCTGACATGAATCACGCCGTCCGAGCCGTCCTCTTGAGACCTTTTGATGAGACCTGCAGGATTTCCGGCATCGTTCTTGTGACCAACCGTGTATCCGCCCCCGACAATCCAAACCATTACCGGAGCTATTTCAACACGTCAGCTTCCAGGTTCGGGAATGGCCAGAGCATAGCTTACCGCCGGCCTCTTCTTGGCCACTAAGAGTTCTTTGCCAGATACTCTTCGGAACTGTCACGTCAAGCAAGAGGCAGTCTTCGGTCGTCGTCGCCCCGGGATCGGTGATAAATTTCTCAGGATCCGATGAGACGTTTTCGGGGTCCATCTCACGGAGCTCTGCGTACGCAATGCGGAGCTCCTCGAGTGACAGAGAGCCAGCGCCGTACTGGGCTGAGAGTCCAAACCACGCAGGAAGAGCGGCGGGACACATTGCGTCGACGGAGCCATTGTTTATGCGGCGGTCAATGACGGTAACCTCTTGCGGCCCTTTAAATCGTGGCGCTTCGGCGTATTTGATGTTGGAGAAGGTAAAGAGTCTGGTGATGTTCTGCGCAAACAGAAGATGATGTTAGTACAATTAATGATTTCACAGCACCAGGACATATGGCTGGTCCGTTTGGGCTTGCACTGACGTTGTAAGTTGCCTGGTGCCGACTGTAGGTGAGATCGACCACGGGAGCATGTGTCGCGCAATCTGTAGGAAGGGATGAAGCGACGGACGCGAGAAGTAAAAGCCAAGTGTTTCTCCCCATTCTGAGAGCTGCCGGATCAGACTGTTATTTGCTTCTTGAGAATACTGATGACATTTGAGCACCATAACGGTGCAGGCGTAGGCTCAACTTATACTCGCCCTGGGCCGTAGCGATGCTATGCGCTCAGTTGACGATGAACCCCTGCTACGAGAAACATTGAATGATTGCATACGTGATGTGAAAATGCAGTATACAAGATAGAGAACGTATAACCCCCTGAGATGATGTGCGATGATTCATGCATTAGCGCTGCCAAGCTCTGCAAGTCGGTCACCCATTGCCCGAGGACAGTGGCTCACATCAGCCTTCTAGCTGACGAGCTGATTCCTGTCCGGAGACTCTTATCAGGCATTGCAATAACGAGTATCCAATTGGACATAGATGCCGCGTGGCGCGTTCAATATGCATTGTGAGTATTTCGAATGAGGTCCTGGCACTTCCACGCCGTGGTTTCAACTTTGATTGTTGCGAGGTAAAAGTTCAAGCGACTGTCAATACTGAGAGGAAATAAAGTAGAACACAAGAACAAAAAAAAGAAGAAAAGAAGAGGAATGAGAGTTGTGGAGAGGCGCAAAATTGCTAAAGAAACTCTGCCAACAGAAATTGTTCGAATAGGAATGGAGTAGCCTCAGCCCACCCTCAAAGCCTTACGAAAGACCAGCGCGAATGTTGTCGTACTTACTGTCAGGGTAGCTCAGCATGTTGTTGATCGACTCTTGTCCGTCTGCTCCTCCCAGCGACTGGAAACTCGCGGAAATCAAACTACCTTCACCGACCCTGTCACCGCTTGCCTCCCAAAACATCGAGCCGCCAAGTCCCTTTTGCTTCAGGTACGACACTTTGTTCTTGATGACGTCGACAGTGTCGTACGAGATGAGCTTTCGGCTCTTGTTGTCGTAGCTGTATGAAGCCTGAGCGACGTCGTCGTAGAGCTCAGTGGCTCCCGGCCGGGGAAGGTCTTTGTAGTCCCAGACGCCGTTCTCCCAAGACCCTTGTCCGATGCCGGAGAAGGGGCGGCCGAGGCCATCAGTATTCTCGAAAGCCCTGCCATATATTGGCATCCCCATGACTAACTTTGAGCTTGAAAACGCCTGCCGCGAGATAGTCTGTCAGCGCGGCGTTGGTGGAGAACGGAGTCGCAGCGGGGTTGCCTGGGTTCGGGTAGAGATTGGCCTGGTGTCCAGCATTAGAATCCCAGGACCCGGCATAGTCATAGGCCATAAGATAAATCTTGTCAACCACGGCTGAAATGCTTCGAAGGTCCAGAATCTTGTAGTGCTGGGGCCCAGCTGGGGCAGCGATCGTCAATAGAAAGCGGTAACCAGGGGCGTGTTTAGCAGCATAGGCGTCAAGCTCGTCTCGTACGGTTTGAAGCAGCAGGATGAAGTTTGCAGCCTGAGTGGCATCGGCGGGATACTCCCAGTCAATATCGATACCGTCAAAGCCCCAGTCCTTCATGAATGTGACCGAAGACTTGGCGAAAAGCTTCCTCCCTGACTCGGTGCTCGCTGCCGCCGGGAAATTGGTAGACCAAGTCCAACCCCCAATACTTAGCAGAGTTTTCATGCGGCGGTTTGACTTCTTGAGAATAAACAGTTGCTTGACACAACCGTATGCGTTGGTGCCGATATCGTTCCAAGCTAAGGATGCCATGTTAGAGAGACAAATTCTCCTGGCGCTTGAGAAGAACTACTCACAGTCGGTTGGGTATCTTTTGTCCAGATCCGAGTATGCGTCCCCGGAAATCCTGCGCAGGCGTGAGTACATGATAAATACAGAACAGCATCCAACGCTTACACCTCTCCTGAGGCGCGGAGATTCAAGAATGCGTAGAGAACCTGCGTGACCTGCGAAGCCGGAAGATTCTGAGGCTGGTAGTTCCGTCCGTATATCGCCCTGATCCCATGCTTAGTTTTGCCGCAACAATTATCCAATGGGCTCAAGCGGAATGCATACCAGTTAGGAAAATACACAGCATTTTGATAGCCGTTCGCAGCCCTCGAAGTTAAAGCAGCAACTGGTGAAGCTTCGGCAATGGCAGCTGTAAGCGCCAGACTTACAAGAGAACGAAGGAAGAACATGATGTAAGTTGCAAGTGTTTGGTTCAGCAAGGGCGGTAAACCGTCTGGGGAGATCGAAAGCTACTTTGATGTTTCAGTGATATACATTGGACTCAGGCAATCTGGAGCTTTAAGTATTCTCCCATAGAAGCAGTGTGAGGTCTGATCCTCAAACTAGATCAAAATCGCAATGGACCCAAGTAGATTGCCACACGCCAAGACACATACGAACAGAGAAACGTTACGGTGTCGAATAATCTTCTTTCCAGGCTCAGAGTAATATGAAAGGCGAGAAGTCTGATGATATTCAATCAACCCGGCGAGACGTTCCATAGCCGTGATATGTGCCAGTCTGCATATGATCAATTGCCCTGCCGAAGTCGATCTTTCCTCCATCGGACAGGTCACATCTTGTTATGGTTTATGACCTTGAGTAAGAAGCGCGGAGCTAATGCAGGTGTTCGACAGCGAGTTGCACGCAAATCCCACGGGCTCCCATGCATGGGGCCAGGTTTCACATATCCATCACATCACTCGGTATTGAGCGCTGTCATCGCTGAAGCGCGGGGTCTGGCAACCCTTCTTGAGAGGAGACACCGAAACACAGCCGAATACCACCTTTCGAAGCGCTTAGGAGATACTCCACGTGAAGTCTAGGCTTTGGCGAAGACCCCTCGGAAACCGAGAATCGTTCAGTGTGGTTGTTTCTTCTGAACAGACTAGCATTTTGCGAGTCTTGGTTGGTCACACTCATGTGCTATCATGGGGAAGTTCGGGGCCTGGCCATCCGTCCGTACTGGGAAGGTCGATTGTCTGAAGAGCCAACCAAAACGCCATGCGACTGCAGAAAATGCAGCCATATCTCGCTTGCCATGGTTCGTCGGCAATTTAAGCGGTAAGGTCGCATCATGAATGTCTTTGCGAGCGCACGGAATTGGTTCTTGGTGGCTTGATGGCCGGATTTGCCCACCAACGAAGAAGACATGGCCAACGTGCAACGTTGTAGGAGGTGCATCGCATTTCTGATGCGCACATTGACTAGAAATGGTTGATTCGTGTGCTAGGGACAAAAGATAATCCTGGTTGAGGGACGACCGAGGCAGAATTGGGCACTCGCCCCTTGCATGCGACAGTGACACGTGCCCTGCCCGGGGCGAGGAAGCGCTTACGACAGACACAACCTTGCCAGTCCCGTCGAGGACCTCTATTCGCGTCTGAACATGCACAAAGCTGTCTCAATGGATGAGTATTTACCCCTACTATTCTGCCTCAACCTCACAGTGGGTTAAACGTCTGGTTGTTCCTCAGAATATTTGACTAAGACGTCTCAACCCTGGCATTGAGGTTCCGGGAAGCTTGCTTACTGACGCTGGTAGACTCTACGTGGCATGTGGTTTCGAGAGGTGACGTTGCAATCAGACACGTCCTATCCTTGAGTAGATTATCTCTTATTTCTTCTTTCATCTTCTCGTTGTTTCGCGTGAGAGTATTTTGAATGCGCCTCAAGAGAGATGTAGCCTGTTTAGCCCTGGACACCAGCATCCCAGGGAGAGATTCCGCAAAGAGGCTCGGCCATTGTACTGTGCTTCTACTTTTCATTCATATGCCTGGAGGAACAAGTCCAATGCAGATTGCTGTAGTGGGAGACCATATTTCCAAACGTACTGTACTAACGCTGGTGTTGAACTGCTTCTTGTTAGCCCGCTTAGTGTGAAGTAGCTCTGCTGAATGACTGGAGCTGGGTTTGCTGCTCATGATCGGGTAAACTATGAGCTGCCTGTAGTTTCTTTGGCAGCTAGAATGTGTTATTGACATTATCTCGCTGATATCATCCTCATGAATATATCTGTCTAAGGTGCTTCTAGTAGGTAGGTGACTGGTGCCGGAGCCTCTACTTTTTCCTCTCTGGTTGCGTCGTCGTCGTCCATGATATGTGGATCTCAGAGAAGAGGGGCAATTTTCCGACGCAGTAGCTAGAAAATTAAGAAAAGTGCCTATTCAAAGTGACTGTTGAGTGCTTTGTACATACTTCCCAGACATCGTGGGGTCAAAGTACGGTAAAATGGCAAAGTAAAACTGAGAAACAGGTCGTAAGAGAATATTTAGTTGCTTGTCAGAGGAGACGGATGAGAAGCGGTTAGGGAAGAAACACGGACGTGCTTCTGCCCTTCATCAGCCACGACCTGTCTATCTCAGCCACACATGCCTCTACCCTGCCTGGCATCACCGTGTCATATACCTTCCCTAGGTACCCAGGTCAGATATCTTGCGTTATGTATGTACCACGAGCCTGTAGCACTGAATGATTGACCCTTTCTGACGTTATCGAACGTGATTTTCTCGAGATAAGAAGAAGGTAGGCGAGGACGTCAATTATCTCATCAGGTGTTTTCACGAGGCAGGGTATCAACCCAAGCCCTTGGCGGCATCTAGTTCAATATTTTTCTCGTTGGCCCCTCATGAGACACATCATCAGATCAATCCTAGACTACAATCTGCCTCTGCCAAACACGATGGATGCAACAGGTCTTCTTATTGTCTCCATCGGCCTCGTAGGCGCCTTTCAGGACGCCACTGATCTATTCGTTCTATTCACATCCCCTCGAGATTTTGGCAGAAATTAGGTCATTCATCTCATCAAGGTCAACTTTGAGAAGATCGTTTCCCTTCATTGGCTAGAGCAAGTTGGAATACTCGAAATAAATTTGTAACGAGTTCGACAAGCTCAATATTGACAAGAACGAGATTCAGACTTCGATTGATGACATCGTCTCATGGATCCAGATATCATCTATCCAGATACTGCTTGGCATAGCCAGACAGGCGAAGGCATACTTTGGGTTTCACGATTCTACAGCGTCAGCTCGAACCGCTTACTGGACATCCGCGAGGAAGCCAAGTTGCGATAATCAGTAGACCTTGCATGGAAATTGAACGGTATTTCAAACAGATCAAGATCAGCGTCACGGGCTTGGACTCATCCGCCTCCATGCTTCGAAAGCGCAATGGGCAGTTCAAGGCAAGGCCTAACCAAGTGAATCCGTGTCGGCATCTGTCAATTTCACGGCCAAGTTGAGGGAGATTGTCTGTCACCCTTACAGCAAACTTCCAAGCCGCACCACCAAAATGAGAAATCCTGGCTCATATGCATCATCTCTACTAGGCCTGACCACCTTGCCCACCTGACGAGCGTTGGGGTGCTGGGCAAGAGCCCCGCGTACGTGAGCACTAGAACCGCGTTACCCTTACTGACAAGAGCGAAATCAAAGGCTTCCCCCGCGGCGCGTAGATTTCTGGGAAGATAGACAAGGCGGGAAATGCAGACAAACCACTTGAATCTGGGGGGGGAGGAAGATGCTGAATTGTGTGCTCATACAGCCTGAGATACCGGTGATCCGGTGATGAAGCATGTTAGTGTACTGGGTTTGCGCTATTTCTATGACCTGTGAGACGTCTAACTCGCGGATGGATGTAGTTATTGTAACCTCGGTGAGACCATTTGGAACGAGTGCAACACATTCGGGAGGAGCTGCAGCGAAGACATTATGTGAGGTCAAACGAATGCGGCCAGATAAGGTCAGCTTCTTTGGGGCTGTTTCCAGGCGACGAAACAGCCAGCGACGTTGGAATGAATGGTGGATCAGTAGACGAAGGCTCCGAGGTGTTATCGCCTGAAACTTTGGAGATGTTACCGTGCTTGGTAGAGAGCCTGGTCTAACCATGGTCAGACTGCATGGATGCCGTAAACATCCAGAAGACCGCTCCCTGGTCAGCCAGCTACCTTATGGGAGGCGGCTTATGGGAGGCGGCACTTCATTGGTGGAATCTGGTACCCAGGCTGTACTAATAATATCTCTCTTCCGGGTGGCGGCTCACGCTTTTTCGACTTAGAGAAAGACATGCAACACCGGGAATTCGGCCGGTAGTTTACTCACTCAATAATCAGTCAGGCTTAAAAGGACCGTTATTGGGAGTTCTGATTACCCCTTTTGGCTTGCAGGGCTGGGACCCACACACAGCCTGTCGTGCATGTTGACCACTTATCTGGCAGAGCAAGGTCAGCAGATCTCCGGAGTCCGAACACGAACCCCATACCAGGCCATCAACCAGCGTCAATGCCATACTTAAACCTTCGCTCAGGGGTCGCGACCCCTCTGTCGCATTCAAACTTTGGCCGTGCACTACGAGGTACGTGGTACAACCACCCTACTGGAAAGTCTCCGAGTACCTTGTTCGGTCCACGATTTTGGCTTTTTCTATGCTCAATACAATCTTTGTAACGGCTATGACGGCTGGGCCGGGCCGCTTCGCTGCAACATAGCTCGAGGGATAATCCGAGCAGAAAATCCTGTCGTCTCTGACGCTCGGCTCCTTGCGTATGCCTCGATAAGCGCGAGAGCAGCAGTCAGGCCATTAACACAGTGTCAACGACAAACACAAGCAGTAACGACGAGCCTCAGCAACAAGCCAATAATCACGAGGCCAACGATAGCTACAGCACGCGAACGGCCTAGACAGATGCGAACTTGGCAGACAGCCGTGCACATTCATCCCACTTCGCAATGCCCCCTCTTGGCTACTTGTCAACTAGCAGCCTTCCATACCATTGACGATGCGCTGGCACCATCTCGGCCGGCGGTCACTTGCAACGATTATACTTACCATATAGAGCCGGCCAGGACGGATAACGATTAGCAGAGGTTCCTTCCGTGTCAGCTACTTTCTGCCTGCATGGATGTATCTGTCATAACCTGGCGATACTCACGTGGAATGCAAGTACGGAGGGATTGTACATGGTGTATCAACCTATGACCAATGGGTAGCGCCGCATTAGCAAGTGGTGGGAGTGCATCACGTCTCTGCGTCGTTCGATTGTTAGCCATGGTGGGATTTTGGATCGCAAGGTTCGACCGACGAGATACTACGTGTCACTGCAAGCGGATCTCGCATGGTGTTGTTTCCAATTATACTTTGCAAGTCTGTGATTTGCCAGACAAGAAAATCGACTCGGCAGCCTTGCGACCCATTGCAAGGATAATTAGAATTGTCATTAAGGAGGTGGGTTCGGCAGCTAGTGATGGACGCTCAGCTGCAAAGCATATTGTCTGCAGCGTTTAATGAGAGGCCGATAATACTTTGCGTGATCAATAAAAGGGAGGACTTGTAAGGTCTTACGGCAAAGGCTTAAAATTTGCGAGGATTCTTTCGAGAACGGTACAGTCTCTGCCTATCAGAAATTGCCTTCCTTTAATCTGGCTATACCATCGTAGCGTGCTAGTTTCAATATGAACAGAAGAAACAGCGTAGAATCGCCCTCTCCAATAGCTTCATGAGCTTCAAAGCGACGGGGTCTTACTAGCGTAATCATCTATTCATTGCTTTGCCGAGAACCGTACGTTTCTTCCTCATCTTTATCTTCGTGTTGTGTTAGACAGGGCCGTGCAATAGACATTGGCTTATCCTTGATGCCTGCCTGATATGTCCATTAGAACCTTGTTGTCGTTGAACGTCATCGAAACTCCTTTGTACGGATTGTACGGCTCACTGCCGAACGGATGATTCCAGATGTTGGCTTGTTAAGCTAAACTTAATTATCTAGGCTAGTGAAACGTGAAACTCTCCTATCGCCATTTGCCTCGAAGGCGTCCAGGATCACGGTGGTTGAGGGCGAGACGGCACGAAGGTCGCGACAGGACCAGAAAGAAAAAGTATTAATGCAGCCTCATCACCGCTGCCAAACACGACTTAGAGATCATCCTTCTCGCATCATCGATACGATCCCAGGTTCTTTCACTCATACCAGGCTTTCGAATCATATCTCTTGTCGACTCCAACATGCGTGTCGCCTTCGTCTTGGCCGCTTTTGCGGTGCCCATCTACGCCCATCCCAGCATGTCCAACTTGCTGAACGAGCTTATGGCCCGCGATGTTGACGATTCACCCCTTGATAACGACGATGTCTTGTCGAGCTTGAATGGAGCTTCCGACTCGTCTCTAACACCCGTTGGCAGAGACCTCAAGAAAATTCTGGTCGGCAAAGGCATAGCGCAGGACCCTCACAGTAGCGGACTGACTACTGAAAAGTACACCAGCGTTCCCAAACTGGACTCGGACAAGTGCAACAAAGACACCTGCTGCGTCTGGAGCTACATCGGCCAAGATTTGAAGGAGCTCTTTACCAACCCCGACAATTCTTGCAATCGCTTTGCCCGTCAGATCATTCGTCTGGCCTTCCATGATTGCATTCCCCACGCAGGCCGCAACAAAGGCGGCTGTGATGCCTCTATCGTCAACTCGAAGGAAGAGAATGGACGCGCCGAGAACAAGGGCATGCAGGAGATCACGAGCAAGTTGAAGGATGTGTACGGCGATTACAAAGACAAAGGTATCAGCATGGCCGATTTGATCCAGTTTGGCGCTTCCGTCGCAGTCCACACGTGCCCCGGCGGCCCACGCTACAGGGTCTTTATGGGACGCAAGGATGTCCAAGACGCGAACCCGTCAGGCCTCGTGCCCTCGCCCTTCGACTCTGCAGACGACATCCTCAGGAAGTTCCGCGAGAAGTCTTTCCTCCCACGAAATGTCATTGCCCTCATCGGCGCCCACACCGTCAGCCTCAACAACACGCTTCCCGGCCAGCCACAGGACACCACGCCTACCAAATGGGACCAGAACTATTTCGCGCAGACTCTGGACCCCAGCAAGGCGAAGAGCTCTATCTTCACATTCCAAAGCGACGCCAACCTGGCCAAGGACAGCGACAGCAAGTCTTGGTTCGAGTTGTTCCTTAAGGACAAGGCTCGCTGGGATAACGTGAGTCCTGAGCCTTCTGCTCTTTTTTGTACCTAATACTGACATCCCGGGATAGGAATATGCCTACGCCGTCATCCGCCTTAGCCTGCTTAACATATACAACCTCAACGACCTGACGGAATGCAGCAAGGCGCTGCCTTGAAGGCATAGTGATTAAGAGGCTAGCTTAGCACTTTTCTTTTCTTACCTTTTTATCCTTCACCCAAGACGTATTTGTAGTCCGCAGGACTATGGTACGGTATTTCAAAGGTAGAGAGTACCAAATATAAGCAATTGCCCAACTTGAATTGCCCAACTTGAATGTGCCCCTGAACCTTATATGGCGGGCGAACGTGCGGCCTGAGCGGTCTTCCTGATGTTTTCGCCGCTTGGTTTTACTGCGTTTGGTCAGGCTCACTTGGCATAAGGCTCTATGGGGCAAGGTTCACCTGCCCAGTCAGATAGACGGGGCTTTTTCCGTGTTTGAGGCCGAAGATGCTGAGAGACACGCTGTGGCTCTGAAGGGTAACAGCCAAGGTAGAGCAGTAGGGAATCGAGTTCGGTGAAGTGGGTCAGCTGGCTAGAGCACGCTTCGGGCCGAGGAGTAAGCCCGGGATGTCCGAGGCAGCCGAATGGACGACCCGAGCGTAGAAGGCCTTCGTCGGGCGGGAAACAGGATGTGGCGCCGCTATGGGGAAGGGGGGGGGGGGAGGGCGTGCTGCTGCTGCTGCTGCTGCTGCTGCTACCGCCTCTGTTGTGACACGGAGAGTGCTTTGAGAGCGAGAGCGAGATAGAGCGTCATCTCTACCATGATTCGGTCTCGCGAGTCAACCGTATCACACCCGCAGCGGCGCCGAGACAGCGGTATGAGACCGCACCGTGTTCGAATTTCTGGTCGCTTCTGTTCAGCAGAACATATGAGGCGACGACTACGCGAGGCCGTCACTCTGGCTTCTTTGCGGCACTCGAAATTGCGACGCGTCCGCTGCGTTCAAGGCGTCCGCCGGGGTCCACTGGACACCGAGAGACGGACTGGTGGGCCGGGCCGAGCAATGTGTAGCCCCACCGGCTGCCGGCGAGTTGGTGCAAAGCACGAGTTTGAGACTGCTAGGACTGGATTAGAGATCATGGGGCTTGAGGCGGGCGAGTCGCTCATCTGTGGCCGCTTATGTGGCGCATGAGAGTCAGCATTGATTGATGCGGCACGGTGCGGACCCGTTCACGGGCTGCTTTCTAACTCCAGTGAATTGAGGAGACTGGTGCCCCAACTGCTGCGTAGCTCGCCGTATTGCGCATGATGGAACCGTGTGTCTGCCTGTCTTGATACTTGTGACGATGACGGTATAATCGACCACCCCGTCACTATCGAAGGCCACTCCGCTCTCGGTTTTAAATAGCTAGCCGTCTTCGGTGTTGCTAGGAGGGGGACTTGAATGGGTGAATGGCCTCCAGCTCGTAGAGTGGTGCTCCCTTATGTGACCTGGCGTGTCGCTTTCGTTCGCCGTCTCTCTATGCCCTGAGAGGACATCTAACTCTCGAGTAAGTATATTCACATGGACTTGGACGTAGCCAGTATAATGTTGATCGCAACTGTGGTTGTGGTGGTGACGGCACGCTTCAATCAGGTTGACAGTGGTACATGAAAGGGTTTGGGTCAAAGGCTGATACTATGCGTGTCGAACCGCGGTTTTGACCACGCCATCTGGCATTTCGCCCTTGCCATTGGCATCCCACCAAAATTAAAAGTCGCCTGGCAAATGACAAGCAGCCGGAATCCTAAGCAGGCCTGTTGAAATATAGATTCCGAGGAATGCCTGCAGGCCATAGGTGATTGGAAAGCCGTTGCTGCATCTGCCACAACATAAAGCATGGGACATCCGACGCTGCCGGAAGTTGCTACCAGGCGGCATGCTCAAAGCCATATAACGAAACCACATTGTATGCGGCCATGGAAGCAGAGAGCCGCTTTCAAACATCCACAATCTCACAAGGCAGCCCCTGTTTCTGTCTTCCTTCAGTCCACGGCAGCCACGATGAAAATTGGCCATCAGTGAGCTCAGCGATGCGATGGAGCAGGTGATCTTCCCAGCCCTCAAGGAACCAGAACGGCTTCGTCCTCAGGAGTATGGCAAAGTGTGCCATGATGAGGAGCGCCACTGAATCCTTCCGCTGCAGACAGGCCTGAAAGCTGTCTTCCATGCGGTACAGCCAGCCGAAGATGATCTTGTTGGACTTGTCGCCGTCGTAGGTGTCGTTGCCACGTCCGTAGGTGGCGTCGTAGACGACCTCAAGACCGTCCACGGCCTGATCGTAGACGGAAATGTTGGAGCTGTCGAGCGAGCCGATCAACTCGCGCAGCTCCTCAAAGGGGCCGACCCAGTCGATGCGTGGAAAGCCGTGGCATAAGTACGTCGGCCGCGGGTCGACGGAGAAGTGGGTCGCAGGGCCAAAGGGCTCCATGAGGCCAGAAAAGAGGGAATCGTGTCGATACGACTCCCGCAGGAGCCGGGTACCGGAGATGAGGGCAGGCCGGTGCTGAGATGTGTCGTCGCCGACGCTGCAGACGAAGAGATCGTTGGGGCTCGAGGGGCCGGCGGCATAGCTGCAGTAGCTGACAAGGAGCGAGGCCAGGTAGACGGCGCCGCAGTTGGACTCGTCGCAATTGGGCAGGGTTCGAGCGACTTCAGCGAGGCCTGACGAGACGTGGCATCTGGCGGCTGACAGGTAGTGCGCTTGCCTGTCGTGGTCGTGCGGGTTCAGATGGGCCAGATGAAAGCCAGCCAGGCCCATGGCGAGGTGAAGCACAAAATGGTGGGCCAAGCCGACCTTCAGGGCGTTGCGCGCCCATGCCTCACCCCAGGGATCGGTGGGGGTGTCCCCGAGGCTGGTGGCCGTGTGCAAGGTGAAGTGGAGCAGGAGCTCGGCGTCCGTGACGTTGAGCTGGCAAGACGATGGCGCTGCTGCTGCTTCGGCCACGGAGCTGTCAGGCGTGGACACGTGAGTGATGGGGCTAACGCTTTGCTCCAAGGCGGACAATGACATCCCCGACGAAGCCGCGCCACCCCAGTCTTTGCGTGGTCGTCCCCGTCCGCGCCGGTGAACGATAGGCGTCTGGGTCTGGGACTGGGAGGGACGAGTATCGCCGCCGCCGGCAGGCGATGCCAAGGTCGTCGGCGGCCCAGGGGCTGCGCATGCTGCAGGTGTCAAGTCACACGGGATGCAGAATCGTATGCAGTTGGCACACTGGGGTTTCTGCTCGTCACACTACACGTGCTGCGTCAGCCGGGCGGCATCTGGGCATGGGAGGCTCGGGACTTGCAACCTTGACTTTGCGTCTTTTGCAATTAACACACCCATTCCTGGTTCTGCGATGTGGTCGTTTCACGAAAGGCTGTTCGTCTTGGCTGGTCTGGCCGTTGCGTGGCATCGTTTGGGTGGCAGCCGGTTGTTGAGTGTATGGAGCATGGTCTCAGCACACCTGCAAGTGTGGCATGGTCCTCATAGATGGAATATGCGCCTGATGAGATGTGCCAAGCTCTCACTCGAGCGAATTTGTGATGGCTCGAATTGACCAGCGGGGAGGATGTAGAGAGCAGCTGTCGCCTTGGGAAGCGGCATTGTTGAGGCGGCGGTGGTCACGAGTGAGTGTAGCCTGCTCCACCCTCTTTCTCGTCGTTTCGTTGGTCAGCTCGAGCATCTGTGGCGGTCAAGTCACCCAAGCCACAAGGGGCTGGTGCTGTCAGAAACATAGTCGCTGTGGTTCCATGACTTTGTTTGCGGCGTCTGCATCAATCACACAGAATGTCAAGTTCGTGTCAATCACGTTCGTAGAGTGCTCGCTTGAAGTATGATACCCACGTCGATAGGCTGATAAGCTGGTTCCAGGCTGAACGAGATCGTCCTATACAGGGGAGCAAATCACGCTGCGAACGGTGGGATCTCGGGGAACACAGAACCCTCTGTAGTAGGTCGCATCCGCAATATGGTGGTCCATGCAATGAGAAAACCAACCCGTATTGCTCCTGTCTGCAATACGCGACTGGGTGCCTCGATTCGCGCAACTAGGCTGCCGGCAGTCGTGCTTACTAGCTCACTTCCGCGCCGTATCGCAATAAGGTTCACAGTTGGCTTACTTCTCCGTGTTCCATGGAAGGTCTTCTTCGTGGAGATCTGAACCGTCTTGGGACACGCCCTGTCATTCTCCACGTGACCTTTTCCGCACCTTCGCCATGCTGGTAGGGGGCTGGGCAGACGTTTATGCGGAGCTGCTTTTCCGAGCCCCCAATCTCCCCATCAATCATCGTGAAACCCATGCCAAATGACAGTTTTCCGTGACCCCATCTCATGCATTCGAGTTTTTCTCGTCTCGATTTAGCCTGAGTCGCAGAGCACATGCAGCAGATTGGGTTATGTCGCTGGGCTCTGGTCCAGTCCCAAGGCGATATCTCACCCACCCGCCCCGTCCTGGCTCCATCGCACATACAGTACAAGAACAGTACAACGTCGTCGTGCCCACGAGGCCCCAGGGACCCCCGGATCGAGACGAGTAGGCCGCAAATCGGAAATACCTAGGTGGTTCCCCATCTGCACATGTATAACCCGAGCTGCGCTTCGCAGGTGCCCGGCGGAGAGAGGCCCCTCCTCCACGGACGACAGGACGTCGACACCGGCGGCCGAATTCATTGGTGGGTAGCATTTTCGAGGATCGTCGTGAGCCTCTTCTTGGCGCAATCTTTGCAGGTCAGTCGATTGGACATTGCCAAGAGGCGCAGTGACTGTCGCGCAGGGCCGAAAAAGGCGCGGTCGATTGAAATGGCCGACTGCGGGAAGGAAGGGGTCTGCCAACGGCACATTGTCGACAGCCATGGAGGAATTCATGCCGAGCTCGTCGAGGACGAGGACAGGTAGTGGAAGAACTTTGGGGGCAAGGCTTGGCTTGGCTGGCTGGCTGGCTGGATGCCCGCAAAACCAGTCAATTCGTGAAAACGAAGCGCGATGGTGAGGCCCGCGAAATGACACCTGAGAATGGACAAATGCATGACGGGCTCTATGGCAAGCATATCCATCCTTCCTCCACACCCCAAAGCTCATGTACAATGGTCCATGCCCACGACGGCTGGCACATTGGCGACGCCTCGCTTGGGGGAAAACTGTCACCAATGG